CGGATTAAAATCTGGCCGAATTTTGGCCGATATTAAAAAAAAGTTTGGCCGAATTTGGCCGTGAGATGGCGTGTGTTTGGCCGTGAAGCCTGTCGACTATCTGGCAACCCTGGTACGTATGCTCAATAGCGCATGGCAAACGGCGGTGGTGTTGACCTGGGATTTGAAAAAACAGCAGGTTTGTTTGATAAATGGAATGGGGTATTGAAGATTTTATCTGCACGTTTGAAGGTAAAGCATTATCCACCGTTGTGAACATAGTCTAAATGTTATTTGATATTTATAGAAGCCGAGTAGGCTAGGCCTATATAAGAGTCTAAGATTAAGAAGACTCTTAATAAAGTAAAGAGTGTGGCCTAGCTTCTGAATCTGATTTTGCCCCTAGGGCTAGGGAGGGGTATGCCTAGGCACTAGACCACCTAGGCCCTAGGCCTATAGGTAGGCTAGGCTCTGTATAGAAGCCCTAGTGCCAGGCAGCGTGGTGTCAGTCAGTGAGTGTGGCCCTACCTAGGCCTACCTCCGTATGTATCATAGTAGGTAGTAGGTAGGCCTACCTGATTCAGAAAGGTTAGGTTTCTTAGTTAGGATAGGCTTATTTATTTATACAATTTGCCTAGCCCTAGATCCACTCTTTTAATTATTGAATTTGTATGTTGTTATTAGACCATTATTATTTTTATTATTATTATTAACGTTTTTTTAGCATTTTTTGCTTCTGTAACATAGATTGTTTTAGCCTAACTTTGTCTGTATTTTTGTGTTTTATGTATTTGAATGTTTACTGCTTTTTATATTGTGTTTCCCCAATCTTTTAATTATTGAATTTACCTGTTGTTGTTTATTATTATTATTATTATTTTTATTATTACCATATTATTATTATTATTATTAACATTGTTTGCATTTTTACTTAATACATAAATTGCTGTAGGCTTATTGTGTGTGTATATTTTAAATCTTAATTATTTAGTATTTGGTTTGTTGTCATTTTAACTTATCGCCATTTTGGTTCATTGCCGTTCTGGTCAAAAAGTGTTGCCGTTTTGGATTTTTGCTACAGTTGGTCATTGCCGTTTTGACTTATTGTCTTTTCGGTTTATTGCAGATTTGTACTAGAAAACGGCCAGCCTATTAGCCTCCTTGGCTAGGACTTATTTTTTGTAACAAAGTTTGAACCTCATAAACACTTCCACAACAATGCAGATTGTGCAATTAATTGTCATTTTCAGGATATTGAGAAAAATAGTTTTTTTCAGTGTAAAAGTAAAATTAATTTGTTACTGCTTGAAATGAATATTGACCAAAATTAAAACAAAAAAAAACTTGATAAAGGGTAGTCCAGTATATCCAGGTTACAGTATGTACTGTTTCATGCCATGTCAAGGTAAATTATGTCAGCAGTTATTCTTTCTTGGCCTTACCTGACAATGTCTAATGGATCATCTATGAAAAAATGGTTGGTAGTGGATAAGTGTACTTATGTTTTTTTGTTTTAATGTTGCTGCTTGATACATTTTTTTCATGACATTCTCCTTTGCAGGAAGCTTACTTTACGAAGAGTGAAGGAGAGCACTCAGCCACTGAATACTATACCTAGAAGAGTTCCTGAAAAATGTGAGGAGCCGGTCACCACATTTGCAGCCAGTATTCAATGAGTGATTTTTCTTTAGTAAAAGCACTTCTGAAGGTAAATTATAGTACAGTATGTCAGCTTTGAATTTTAAAACATCATGGCATATTACATACTGATGAGAGCCACCGACTCGCTCATTTCAATATTTGAAGCTTATCCAGAATATTTTGTCATCTAAAGTAAAAAAAATTGTTGTTGAAGTTGAAGAGGATCAATCTAATACTGCAAGGACATATTGTTGCCCCATTGTTGTCGGTAACATTAAATAATACATTTTTTGGTGGAGCACAGGGTCAATGCTAATTTTGGTTCAGGTTATGCAAACCTACCTAGGTTTATCTTATACCCTATTCAGAATACACTCCGTTGCGATCGGTTGTGTTGTAGACGGTAGTAATCAGTGGTATCCAAAACTGATTACTCCCGATGGCAATCAACCAGCGCATTCAGACCAACACAAAAAAACTTTACATTCTAGGGCCTAGGATTCTGGTGGCTAGGCCTGTGTTCACTAGCCTCAGCCAAACAGTGCCTGTGGAATTTGTTGTGATTCGTTGCGATCGCATTCCCTGGTAATCGGGAATAAAGATTTAGCACCCAATCGCAACAGGTAACAATTGCGATATTATTACGTATCGTCTACTATTAGTGAGCTTTCACACACGATTTTACTTCATGATTTGGTGTCGCAATTGCTACAACCGATTGTAGTGTGATGCTAGTCTGAATAGGGTATTAATCTTTGCCTTTACCCTTTTAGAGCAAGATGTTTCTAAAGTGAAATTCAATTAAATGCATCAGTGGTTGCTGCACATCAAAGAACAGAAAGAGCAGGTTGTAGAATTCATGAGAAAAACATAAAGAAGCAGATACTAAAAGCTCTATAACAAATTGACAATCTGAAATATTTATTGTTTTCAAACTCGCTTCGAAGTCTTAGCATTTAAATCTTTCCAATGATTCTTATATATTATGTATGAAACAGGATGTAATAGTAAAGTGAAGTGCTTTCAGATCTTGCACTACATAACATTTCTATATATAAGCAGATACTAAAAGCTCTATAACAAATTGACAATCTGAAATATTTATTGTTTTCAAACTCGCTTCGAAGTCTTAGCATTTAAATTTTTCCAATGATTCTTATATATTATGTATGAAACAGGATGTAATAGTAAAGTGAAGTGCTTTCAGATCTTGCACTACATAACATTTCTAAATATTAGGTTCCTGAAGTTGCAAATACATCCCAAGTTCATTCTGCTTCATGTAATTGAAGCATTATTTACTCGCAATGTGTTCTTTAAAACAATTCAGAGCCCAGTATAATTATGATGATGTGTACTCAAATCAATTTCTCAACCCATTATGCTATTTCAGATTGAGCAGGACTTCAGAGCTATCTATGGAGAAGCTGCAGACACATAGATGAAGTAATCCCAGAGTTGACAGACAGCATATTAAAATTTGGACCCAAGCAAAGTACAGCAATCAACATATCTACTACTACTACTTCAGGTAGGGATACAATGCAGTATAGTTTACAAACCATAATGGTGGCTCATGCATTTGTGAATATAGCCTGAGATTGTAAATACAATCAAATAAATGCTTCTCTCAAATAAGCTGCTTATAAGCGATATAAGCCTAGGCCTACTGTATTCTATTTTGAATAAGCGTCGCTGTGTTTAATCAAAAAAGTGTGTAACTGATAAAAGGTGTAGTATTGTTTGTATGCGAGAGAATATAATTAGTTGTAATTGTTTAATATGAAAATTTCATAAAAATATAAACGATGTAACCAATTTAGCCATCTAACTTGGACATTATACACTTTTTAAATAATTGAAGGGGTGCTTATTTACATGTCGCTGTGTTTAATAAAGAAGTGTATAGCTGATGAAAGGTGTAGTATTGTTTGTACAGTATGCGAGAGAATATTAGTTGAAATTGTTTAATATGAAAATTTCACAAAATTATAAACGAAACCAATTTAGCCGCCTAACTTGGACGTTGTACACTTATTAAATAATTGGAGGGGTGCTTATTTATATGGGGAGCCCAATAAAAAATAATGTCCTCTATGTGAACTTACTCAAAAAGAGACCTTATTCACGTACGTACAATATTTGAAGAATATTTTGAATGAAATAGCTTTGATTGTTTTTTTATGTTTTTTTTTTATCCCTGTAGAACCACATTAACGAGCGATTGAAACATTTCCCATCCTACCGTCTCTGCATGTAGAGGAGAAGCAAAGAGCCAAAAGAGCAACAGTAAATTAGGCTCTGACACTGACAGCCTTCGAGGATTCACCACCTGCAAGTACATGAATATCTAATAGACTCTATCATCTTAAAAGGCAGGCTCCGTAAAATTATTGATATGTTGTACAACTGATTTTTTAAAGACACACTAAGCATATTTGACGAAGAACTTGGGAACGGTTAATTGAGGTACAGATTTATGAATTTTCAAAAACTGAGGGAAAAGGTGGAGAGATGTATGGTTACAGTGTTACACCCTATTTCCCAAAGTTTTTAAATATTCAAAAATCTGCCTTAACTTATTAACTGTTCCCAAGTTTTCCGTCAAATATACTTTTGTGTCTTATAAAAGTTTGTTATACTGTACAACATATAAAAAATGTTTTTTCCTCCTGAGCCTGACTTTAGCCCCTTTCAGACAAGAAAATACAGCAATGTTACAATAGCCGGCGTTATTGCCGGTCTAGACCCTTTCAAACAGATGCTCAGTCTCTGGTAATATTACCGTATCCTTTCTGAAAGGTTCCCATCAAAAAGTGTAAACATTGGAGTACTCATTTTTAGTAAACATGGCAAGCAATAATTATGATATTGTTAATTCTTTTCCTACCTTCCCTCTGGAGATATTTTTAAATCAGGTGCGCCTTGTATCTTTGGAAAAGGCCCAATATATAAAGACATTATTATTATTATTATTATTATTATTATTATTATTATTATTATTATTATTATTATTATTATTATTATTATCATTATTATTATTATTATTATTGTTATTATTATTATTATTATTAAACAAGGTATAAATGAGTCTTGCCTAACCTGAATTATTTTAGTAAAATATATAATAATATACCAATACATGGTAAAATCAGTATATAGTAACTATTAATGATTATCCATCTTTTCTCGCAGCTCACAGATATATTAATTTAGTGTTTCTGTACCCATTTAGTGATTGAATTTTATTTGTATTTGATCTTTCAAAAATAAAGAATTTTACAATGGTATACGTACATAGTGTTTATGTCTGTTTTTGTTGTAGAAAAGCGTAGACTGTGAATAATTATATAGAAGTACTGTACAGTCAAATATTTACAATTATATTATTCAAAATTTGACTATCAAATAGTTAGATTTGACTAAATTTTACTTGACTATTTAAAAAGTGGTCATATCCAAATGACCCTGCTTACTACATAAATGACCACAAAAATGTTGTAATATTTTATCCCTAAAGGGTTACTTTGGACCCTACTTCAGGGTCAAATATTTTGTCTACATTTTCAGGGTCAAATTTGACTAGATTGTAGTTGGTGCATAGTTGACCGTACTAAAAGGGTCATAAATGACCTTGTTGGGGTTAATTTTTGAACCTGTAGTTCTTAGTGTACTGAATGACCTGGAAATAATTGCAATAGTTTTGATTTTAAGGCTGTTATACTTTGTGTATCCTAAAGAACATATCAAAAATCTAGAAAAAAAATATTTGGTGGAAGCCATTTAAATTTGGCATTTAAAATTTTTTTTTTATCTAGGTGAAAGTTTATGATAATATAGTTATATCTTGTCAACTACTAGTCCTAGAGAGTTGCTTCTTGAGTCAAATTGTTGAGAATGGGTATGTTCCTATTTGCTCTAATGGGAAATGTGGTCTGAAAATGACCATTGACCCATATTAAAAGACAGTTTGAAGGTCATCATCACCATATTAAAATTAACATAATGTAACATACATTAATGCGAAATATATTGATTGAAATTTAATCTTCCAGTGACTAACTTCGAAATACCATTTTTTTGTGTAAAAACGTGTTAAATTTGGCATTAAAATCCAAAATTTAGCATGGCAAAAGCCCATTCTGTTTGTGCCAAGGCCTGGTGATAAGAATAGAGTATTAGATGAAAAAGTTGTTAGCTTAGTATTCATAAATAAAACATGAGTTACCTAATTTAGGCAAAAAAGTAAAAAAAAAATAAGTTTTTTGTTTTTTTAGGTCACAACATTAATAAAATGTGTTGTAGCACACATTGTTTGATAAAAATTTAAATGCTTTCTTATGATACTAAATATATTCAAATTAGGCCTTTTAACGTACTTGCTTCAAAATACAATTTTGGGGTAAAAAAGTGCAGTTTTTTTTTTTTTGTATTTTTCGGATCAAAAATCAATATAATTTGTCATTATATACATCATTCGACAGATAATTTCAATAGCTTTCATATGACACCAAATATATTCAAATTGAATCTTCCAGGAATGGACTAGCTTAAAAATACCATTTTTGGGTAAAGTGTAAAATCTGCCATTTTGGTTAAATTTAACCCCTTCCACTAATTAGATTTTTCTAGATTTTTGATATGTTATTCCTCATTAAATTCTGAGTTGAAAACTATTATTTTTATTACTATTGCAATTTGTTTTTTACGTAAGAGCTAGACTCTAAAATCAAATAATAAGCAGAGGAAGTTGACTATATTATGGTCATAGTTTCCTAATGTACCTCCTTCGTAGTGACAAAAGTGTGAGGTGTACCAATAATGGAACCCACAGCCTTTTGAAAGCTAAACTGTTGGCTTAACCACTACACCACCTATCGTTCACTTATAGACTAGTTTTGAATCCGATTCCCAAGTAGCAGCTGATATTGCAATGCTATTTAATGATGGTTTGCATCAGGTAGGGCAAAAAATCTTCTTACCTCATCTCCTGACGCACAACACATAAGTTCAGGTTGTTTAGAAAAACAAAATTGCAGTTTATCATTGAAACTTTTTATGTTTAGGTATTATTTGCTTTAAGCCACAAATTATAATTTAACTGTTACATATGTTATGTAAAAAGGCCTAGCATTACGTATTTATGATGATAATAGAAGCATATTAGACATGTATACAACAATTCACATGATTCTGGATTTATCATCAGTGAGTGGTGACATTTACTTGGCCACCCTTGGGTAAAATGTTACAATCACAAAGCCTGAAAAACAAATAAATATTTTAACTTAGTCGTACCGCTATCAATTAGAATTATTAATCAACATAATATTAAATAAGTTTTAGAGCCTAAGTATACTTATATACGTGTTCTGTTTTTTGTAATAATTTTTTTTCCTGATATGTTATACGAACTGATTTTCCAAAGAGACAAATAATAAAGACATCTTAAATCTTGATGTATTTTTTTTAAAACAACCCTTCTTTCTCTATCAATAACATTCATCTAGCTTACTATTTAAATTAATATACTAGTTTTGTAAACGGCTATTATTATAAATCCTAGGATGAAATTTTTCAAATACTGCGCCTATTAGAAATAAAAAGTTTACCTTAATTTGTTAAGTTAGACACCTCCATTATTTGAGCACCTGTGAGTAATAAATAGGGGTCCTGTGCCTCAATTTGTCTGTAAACGGTGCAGTGATGTGTATGATGTTTAATTTTTGGTAGTTTTATAGTTTATTGTAAATTTTGGTTTCGTCCTTCTGGTGCGCCTTGAGCACTACTGCAATGGATATGTATTTTATAAATATTATTATTTATTATTATTATTATTATTGTTGTTATTATTATTGTTATTCCACTATTACCTATATATTCTGCTACTCACCTCCTCTGCAGTAGCAACTACAGTAGCAACAACAACAGAACCATCGAATACTCTAGCAACAAGAGAAACAACCAAATCTTCGACAACTGAAGTGCTAACAACAGAGTCATCCAGTAGTAATGCACCGACTACAGCATCGTTGACTACTGAAGTACCAACAACAGTAGCATCAACTACAGAAGAACCAACAACTGAATCCTCTACTACTGATGCACCTACAACTGCATCATCAACTACTGATGCACCAACTACTGAGTCATCTTCTTCTGATGCACCAACAACAGAATCATCTACTACTGATGCACCAACAACCAAATCATCTACTACTGATGCACTAACTACAGAAACATCTACTACTGATGCACCGACAACCGAATCATCTACTACTGATGCACCAACTACAGAAGCGTCGACAACTGAAGTACCCACAACAGAACCATCCACTACCGACACACCAACAAGCGAATCATCTACTACTGATGCACCAACTACAGAGGCATCAACAACCGAAGTGCCAACAACACAATCTTCAACGACAGATAAACCGACTACAGCAGCATCAACTACTGAAGTACCAACAACCGAATCTTCTACGACAGATAAACCAACTACAGCCGCATCAACTACTGAAGTACAAACAACAAAACCATCCACTACCGATGCACCAACAACAGAATCATTTACTACTGATGCAAAAACAACAGAATCATCTACTACTGATGCACCTACAACTGAATCATCAACTACTGATGCACCAACTACTGAGTCATCTACTACTGATGCACCAACAACAGAGGCATCCACAACTGAAGTACCAACAACCAAATCTTCTACTACTGATGAACCGACTACAGCAGCATCAACTACTGAAGTACAAACAACAGAACCATCCACTACTGACGCACCAACAACAGAATCATCTACTACTGATTTACCTACAACTGAATCATCTACTACTGGTGCACCAACAACTGAATCATCTACTACTGATGTACCAACTACAGAGGCATCCACAACTGAAGTACCAACAACCGAATCTTCTACGACTGATACACCGACTACAGCAGCATCAACTACTGAAGTACAAACGACAGAACCATCCACTACCGATGCACCAACAACAGAATCATCTACTACTGATTCACCTACAACCAAATCAACTACTACTGGAGCACCAACTACTGAGTCGTCTACTACTGATGCACCAACAACAGAATCATCGACTACTGGTGCACCAACAACTGAATCATCTACCACCGAAGCACCAACTACAGAGGCATCGACAACTGAAGTACCAACAACCGAATCTTCTACGACTGATAAACCGACTACAGCAGCATCAACTACTGAAGTACAAACAACAGAACCATCCACTACTAACGCACCAACAACAGAATCATCTACTACTAATTCACCTACAACCGCATCATCTACTACTGATGCACCAACTACTGAGTCGTCTACTACTGATGCACCAACAACAGAATCATCGACTACTGATGCACCAACAACAGAATCATCTACTACCGGTGCACCAACTACAGAGGCATCGACAACTGAAGTACCAACAACCGAATCTTCTACGACTAATAAACCGACTACAGCAGCATCGACTACAACAGCATCAACTACTGAAGTACAAACAACAGAACCGTCCACTACTGACACACCAACAACAGAATCATCTACTACTGAATCACCTACAACCGAATCATCTACTACTAGTGCACCAACTACTGACTCATCTACTACTGATGCACCAACAACAGAACCATCCACTACTGACGCACCAACAACAGAATCATCTACTACTAATTCACCTACAACCGAATCATCTACTACTAGTGCACCTACTACCGAATCATCTACTACCGAGCAACCAACAACAGAATCATCTACTACTGATTCACCGACAACCGAATCATCTACTACTGATGCACCAACAACTGAATCATCAACTACTGATGCACCAACTACAGAGGCATCGACTACTGATGCACCAACAACAGAGGCATCCACAACTGAAGTACCAACAACCGAATCTTCTACGACTGATGAACCGACTACAGCAGCATCAACTACTGAATTACAAACAACAAAACCATCCACTACTGACGCACCAACAACAGAATCATCTACTACTGATTCACCTACAACCGAATCATCTACGACTGATAAACCGACTACAGAAGCATCAACTACTGAAGTACAAACAACAGAACCATCCACTACCGACCCACCAACAACAGAATCATCTACTACTGATTCACCTACAACCGAATCATCTACTACTGGTGCACCAACTACTGAGTCATCTACTACTGATGCACCAACAACAGAGGCATCCACAACTGAAGTACCAACAACCGAATCTTCTACGACTGATAAACCGACTACAGCAGCATCAACTACTGAAGTACAAACAACAGAACCATCCACTACCAATGCACCAACAACAGAATCATCTACTACTAATTCACCTACAACCACATCATCTACTACTGGTGCACCAACTACTGAGTCGTCTACTACTGATGCACCAACAACAGAATCATCGACTACTGATGCACCAACAACAGAATCATCTACTACCGATGCACCAACTACAGAGGCATCGACAACTGAAGTACCAACAACCGAATCTTCTACAACTGATAAACCGACTACAGCAGCATCGCCTACAACAGCATCAACTACTGAAGTACAAACAACAGAACCGTCCACTACTGACACACCAACAACAGAATCATCTACTACTGATTCACCTACAACCGAATCATCTACTACTGATGCACCAACTACTGAGTCATCTACTACTGATGTACCAACAACAGAACCATCCACTACTGACGCACCAACAACAGAATCATCTTCTACTAATTCACCTACAACCGAATCATCTACTACTAGTGCACCTACTACCGAGTCATCTACTACTGAGCAACCAACAACAGAATCATCTACTACTGATGCACCGACAACCGAATCATCTACTACTGATGCACCAACAACAGAATCATCAACTACTGATGCACCAACAACAGAATCATCAACTACTGATGCACCAACAACAGAATCATCAACTACTGATGCACCAACAACAGAATCATCAACTACTGATGCACCAACAACAGAATCATCAACTACTGATGCACCAACAACAGAATCATCAACTACTGATGCACCAACAACAGAATCATCAACTACTGATGCACCAACAACAGAATCATCAACTACTGATGCACCAACAACAGAATCATCAACTACTGATGCACCAACAACAGAATCATCAACTACTGATGCACCAACAACAGAATCATCAACTACTGATGCACCAACAACAGAATCATCAACTACTGATGCACCAACAACAGAATCATCAACTACTGATGCACCAACAACAGAATCATCAACTACTGATGCACCAACAACAGAATCATCAACTACTGATGCACCAACAACAGAATCATCAACTACTGATGCACCAACAACAGAATCATCAACTACTGATGCACCAACAACAGAATCATCAACTACTGATGCACCAACAACAGAATCATCAACTACTGATGCACCAACAACAGAATCATCGACTACT